GAAAGCATTTGCAATAGTCAATAAAGCACAAGTAAACATCTTTCTGATTACTTTCTGCTTGCAGCCAAAATCCATCAGACATCAGCAGTAATATCCCTTGTTCCATAGTCTCTTCTGAATCAGGCTTGACCCTGTGGAAGTTCTATGTCAATATACGATTGCAGCCGTTTCTGTATTACTTTTAGTGAAACTTTACTTGCATGGGATATAAAAGACATTGTCTGATGATTTACACATTCCATTGGTTGGCCTCTCTTTGGAAAGGATACAAATATGAATATCTTCCAGTCAGTCAGCCAGATAGTCGTCCTCCGAATTTCTTGGCAGAGATGAATGAGTTGAGTGCCTCCTGTGCTGCTTGCCTCACTTTCTTGAAAGATTTCAATTTTTTAGTTCATCGGTTCCTGGTACCTTGTGCTTTGCCAATTCCTTCAATGCACCTTGGACGTCTTCCTTTGGTATCATTGGCTGTTGATAATATACTAACTCTTGAAACGGTTGAACATCAACCATTTCCTTTTGGTACAGTGACTCTGTGTAAATCTTCCATCTTCTTTTGATGCTTTCTGCATCATTCAATAATTTGCTCCGAGAATCCTTCAATAACGAAAGTCAAGGTTTGAATTTTTTCTTCCGCTCCCCCAGCTTGAGAAATGCTGAGCGTGTTCTTCCTTTTTGGTTCTCTGACTCCAGATCTTTGCACATTTTGTTGTAGTATTTGGTTTTATCTTCTTGAGATGATCTTTGAAATTTTCTGTTCAGCTCTTGTACCTCCTCCTTTCTTCCATTTGCTTTAGCATCTCTACACTGGAGAGCAAGTTTCAGTGTCTCTTTCTGATATCCACTTTGACGTTTTCCTTCTTTTTTGTCTTCTTAATAATTACTTTTTGCTTTCTTTCTGTATGATGTTCTTGATGTCATCCCACAACTCTTACGGTCTTCAATCTTTAGTGCTTAATTTATCAAATTTGTTCTTCAGATGTTCTGTAAATTCAAATGGGAAATATTGAAGGTCATATTTTGGCTCTTGTGGACTTGTTTTCCTTTTTTCCAGCTTCAATTTGAATTTGCATATGAGCAATTGATGGTCTGTTCCACAATCTGCCCCTGGCCTTGTTTTGACTGATGATTTGTAGCTTTTCCATCGTCTCTTTCCGCAGATGTAGTCAATTTGATTTCTTTGTATTCCATCTGGTGAGGTCCCTGGGTATAGTTGTTTCTTATGCTATCTAAAGAAGTTACTTGAAATGAATAATCCTTGATTTTGAAGAGTTGTATCATGGTGATCTCCAGCATCATTTCTATCACCAAGGCCATATTTTTCCAACTACTGATCCTTCCTCTTTGCTCCCAACCTTTGCCTTCCAATCACCTGCAATGATCAGTACTCTTGATTGCATGTTTGATCAATTACAGATTGAAGAAGTTGGTAGAATTCTAATATTTCATCCTCACTGGCTTTACTGGTTGGTGTATAGATTTGAATAATAGTGGTATTAACTGATCTTTCTTGTAGGCACATGGATATACTATAACAGACACCGTTGTATTGCATGACTGATCTGGATATGTTCTTTTTGTCAGTGAATACAACACCATTCCTCCTCAATTTGTCTTTCCTGGTATGGTAAACTATGTGGTTGTCAGATTCACAATGGCCAACACCAGTCCATTTCGGCTCACTAATGCCTAATGTATTGATTGTGTTGCATTCCATTTCATTTTTGACAATTTCTAATTTTACCAAATTAATACTTAGTACATTCCATGTCCCGATTACTAATGGATGTTTACAGGTATTTCTGTTAATTTTGAGTAGTGCTCCATTAACACATGAAGGTCCCACAGGCTTTACTCCATTTGTGTCATCATGGTAAACTCTACTTTGAGGAGGCAGCTCTTCCCCAATTGTATTTTGAGTGCCTTCCAACCTGAGGGGCTCATTTTCTGGCAGTCTATCTGACAGTGTTTCTCTGCTATTCATAAGATTGTCAGTGACTAAATATTTGGAAGTAGTTTGTCACTCCTTCTTCCTTGTCTGTCTTCATGTGCAAGCTCATCTGAAAACTGTCCACCATGGGTGACCCTGCTGAATTTAAAATACTGGTGGCATAGTTTCCAGAATCACAGCAACTCTCAAGCTACCACAATATGACAAATTGACAAATGAGTGGTGGTTTGTCTCCTTACTTGCAAATAAAGGCAACAGGCACTCCTATCTTATACTTTCAAAGATCTGATGAGATTGTATGACTCTGCTTTCATTAGATAGAGAAGACAGTGTTATCAAAGTGCATTTATCACAAATACTTGGCCTGTAGAAGATACTTTATTATAACTAACTATTTGTTAAATTTGTATATGAAATTGGCCTTTTCTCTTTCTTTAATTTTATTTGATTTGAAGCTCTGTTTTATTTCCTAAGGACTACAAATTCCCAGATTTCTGTCTTTAAACCAAATACATGGACCAGATTCTTGATACCTCAAGCACTGTTTTTGTGCACTTTGAGAACCACAAGCTAAGTCAGTTAAGAATATGAGCTGGTCTTTCACTTATTGTGAAAAGATGAGCTTTTTAAATTGTGGATTTTGTAGGTCATTAGTCAAGGGTCTCAGATTTGATTTGTCTTTAGAAATAGAATTGCTGTCTAATTTATAGCCCAGAATTTTCATTTACAGTGTTTAAAAAAAACATTAGTTAACATTTTCTTCCTATAAAAAATAGATAAACTACATTCCAAGTTATCATTAGACTGCTTCTTGCACTCAGAAGTGAGTACATTAATTGTATGATCTAAGTGGCTAGTGTGATCAAACTACATCATCCAGCTGATGTACCCATCTCCAGTGTAATGATGTACTTAATTTATAAACTAGACTGGTTTCCATCTATTAATAAGGGCATAAAATGGGAGAAAATCAAAGTGTGCTTTGTTGTTCTCCTTTTCTAGATTATAAATTGATTCTCATCTTCCTGTTAAGCTTTTCATATGTATATATATCTGATAATTTAGATTAAATGCTTTTGTTTATAATTAGAATTCTGTCTTATGTTAACTTAAATTTGTAGATCACTTGATTACTGATTAGAGTTAGTGTCGTGTCGTCTAAAGAGAGCTGGTTTCATTCACTACATATGTTGGTAAATCTACATTCTCAGGGTATGGTTTTTTTGGGGGATGGGGTGAGGGATGCTGCCTTTGGCTGAGACAGCATGGTGTACTGATAATAGTAAGAGGTTTTAGAATTGGATTTTCAAGGTGTATGAGTTTTGGAGAAATTATTTAATCTCTGAGCTTCTATTTTCTTATCTGTGGAGATAACATAACAATTCTGTAAAGTAGATAGTAAGGGCTACAACAGGTGATTTTATTTGTAACTGGAACTAACCCGAGCAAAGAATGTATATGTAATATAATCCAGGGTCATTCTTGTATATCATTACTACTTTTCTTTTAATGTGCTTAAGCATCTTTTCTGGATTTGTTCATTTAGTTTCCAGTCTGTTGGTTTTCTAATTTCTTATCCTGTCCCTCAATTAAGGTTGGTTCTTTTGTTAAGTGGGACATCCGTACATGTTGGAAACTAATAATGTGTGCATACTGAGTTGACTGAGCAAAAAAATAATTATAAACCAGTGTCACTTTTTATTGTATATGGCAGATTATTTGTTGATTAGAATTGGTCAGCCTTTTATCATAAAAGTACTTAAAATAATAAATATTTCAAAGACTGATATTTTTCTAAGTTTCGAAAATATTTTCAGCTTTATTTTATATAATTTGAGAATTCTTGATACTAATTCTAAGTATTTTTATGCATGGGATTAATATAGATTTGTGATTTATGAGCTAGGAATATGAAGGATCACCGATTCATACATTTTACTTTTTATTTTGCTCCATTTAGGAAGGCGACATGCCAATTCATGAACTTCTCAGCCTTTATGGTTATGATAGTGCTGTTCCACTCCCTGAAGAAGATGAGGAGGAAGAGGAAGAAGAGGAAGAAGTTGAAGATGATGAAGATGCCGATAATGATGACAACAGTGGCTGTAGTGGGGAAAATAAAGTAAAATTATTATCTTTTATTATTGAAGTTATAATAGTCATTTGCCCTGATTTTGTTAATCAGGTTTTATTTCTGATTTTAAAAGTAATACATTTCCATGTTAAAATTGAGGTACTGTAGAAATGGTGGTGGTTATGTTCCATGGAGTTGGTTCCAACGCGTAGTGACCCTGTAAAGGATTTCCGAGGCTGTAAATCTTAACTGGAGCAGAAAACCTCATCTTTCTCCCGTGGAACGCCTGTTAGATTTGAACTGCTGACCTTGAGGTTAGCAGCCCAAGTCTTAGCCACTATGCTACTATAGCTATAGAAATATATAAAAACTGTAAGCGCATTATTATAATCCCACTCCTGTGAGGTAACAGTTTGACTTGTGTTCTAGATTTCTTTTCAGTGCCTATTCTATCAAATAACTCATAATTTTAAAAATGTGTTATTTTTAGCTACCAATAAGTCTAATTGGTAGTTCTCTTTTAATTAAAAATTTTTAATATAATTTTAGATGGACAGAAGAATTGTGAAGAAGGTATACAGAGAGTTCCTGTAGATTATTAATCATGATACCTTTATCTAAACTAAGAACTAGATAAGTTATATTATTTTTCTCTTCTAGGATCTATTTCAGAATAGCAAGTTGAAATTAATGCATTCATTTTAGTCTTCTAGTTGTATTTGGAACAAAGTTTGAGCACTATGACCTTTAATATGTACCAGTTTTGATTCATATCTTAAGTTTAATTTATCATTCTACAGGAAGAAAATATAAAGGATTCATCGGGTCAAGAGGATGAAACTCAGTCTTCCAATGATGATCCATCACAATCTGTTGCTTCTCAAGATGCCCAGGAAATAATACGCCCACGTCGATGTAAATATTTTGATACAAGTAAGTGTTATAATTGGCTATTTTATGTAGTCCCCAAAATTCTAATGTTTTTTTTCATTGCTCTGTTTGAATTCATTTAGTCTTTAATCTCTCATCAGTGAAGTGATTTTGTTCTACGTTTTAGTTTAGCAGTAGTACACTAATTGTTTTGTATCACTGTACTACTTGACTTTGGACTATTTTTTCCTGTGTTACTCTGATAAAATATAGTTGTATAATGTTTTTTTACTACTTCCCTCAGTGTATGGAGTCCTGGTTTGACACTGGTAGGATAAGCACTAGATTGCACTGTCAGTTTGATCGGCAAGATATAGTGGTTCAAACCCACCAGCCGCTCTTCACAGATCCTATAGTAGGTTGCTGTAAGTCAGCACCAATTCGATGAAACTTAACAAAACAACAAAGTTCTATTTTAAATGTTTATTTCTTATTCATTTTTTTAATTTCCTCTAGCCTCATGTTTATTTCTGCTAGTTCTCATGTTTCCCTTTTTAGGTATTCTAAGTGTGTTCATAAGTGTGGCTTTATTTAATCAATGACTTTATTGTTTAAAGAAGCAGTTGATTTTTGAGTTGGGAATCCAATTATCAAGAACTTCACTATAGTTAATGATCTAATTTGAGATATCCAGTAGTAAAGACAACAGTTAATGTATGTAGCTTACTGGTTCCTTTCCTGTTCCATCATTTTTCATGATAAGCATGAACTGTTACTCTAGAAGGCAGCTTCTTTATAAGAACAAGTCCTACCACTAATGTCTTTAATTAGATTTGTGATCTAACTTGTACATTAACAGAAAAACATTTAAGAAAAGCTGATAAAATAGTTATATAATGCTTTGCATGAATTATCTGTGACACATTTAGTTTAGAAGTGATTGTAGTATTGCTAATAATGGCTTAGTTTTATTGTGGGTTTTGATCAAACAAAGATTTGATTCAAGTAAAAAAGTACAAGGAGAGATTAGTTACCGAAATGATTCTGTTTTAAGTTTAGGGTAAAAGTGGTGTGCTATCTTTTTCTGTAAACAAATTTATTGCCAAATTTTGCTCTAGCCATTGAATTTAAGTTTGATGTTAATGACTACTTTGTCCTTAGAAACAATATTTATTACATACTGCTAATGTGATTTTTTTTTTAAGTTTTGTGGATTGAGTAAAAGTTTACAGGGCAGATCATCAGTTTTACATTCAACAAATTATACACCTTGTTTCATTACAATGATTATAATCGCCTCCATGTACCGTTAACAGTATTTCTCTCTATCCACTTTAGCTTTTTTTAAAAAACAAGAAACACTCAGGCATATATAATTAAATTTACATCTTCAAAGGGCATATTCTGCAAGTCTGCCTCCTGGCCACCAGCTCTTACTCCCTCTCTTCCCATGAATCTAGAGTCCTCAACTGCTCCCCCTCTGCATGCCTCCATCTCTGCCTCCTTGCTAATGTGATATTTAGTTGTAATTGTTTGCATGGCAACTATATATATGTGTCTTTTCCAAGGGTAGAATTAATCCTTGTCTCTAATGTCTTTTTGGGAGCGAGGTGAATCTTTGTAGGATAAACATTGGACTGTGAAACCACAAGGTCAGTGGTTTGAGCCCACCAACCAGCCACTTTGCAAGAGAAAGATGAAGATTTCTGCTTTCGCAAAGATTTAAAGCCTCGGCAACCCTTTGCAAGATTGCCATGAGTCAGAACTGACTCAACGGCATATAACAATATCACAACAATGTCTTTTTGAAATTTGTGAGTGATAGTAGAATTCTTGGGTTGAGAAATTGCCGAAAATCTAATTAATAGTTTTCAGATTTCACACCTTTTTGTATAAAAACATTCTTATCCAAAATGTAAACAGTCAGTAGCTTGCCTGCTCTGAGTAAAACAGAAGTTGGGGAGAACAGAAGTCTTTAAACATACTCCCTACCCTTTGCAAAGTAGTGCTAAAAGTTCCATAGTGTTGCAAAGACCACTGTTTTCTCCAGCTCTTTATAAGTGAAGAAATTGAGTTTCTATTATTTGTTCAATCACAGAGCTATTATTTGCTGGTAGCACACATAGAATTTACAACAGATTATTACAATTTCTTCACCAAAAGTTTTTATAGAAAACCACTTCATTAGAATGGATTAGAATTATTCTAGAAAGAAAATGTTTATAGTGTGTGTGTTTTTAATTTAGTGATGGGGAGTAGGTATGATTCTGTTAGGACTGTATGGAGTCCTGGTTTGACACTATAAGCACTGCACTGCTAACTTCAGGGTTGGCAGTTCAAACCCACCAGGTGCTCTTTGGAAACCCTATACCAGGTTGCTATTAGTTGTAATAGACACGACAGTACTTAATAACAGTAATCTTGTCCTTAACTTGCAAATCTTTTTGGTGTATCTAAATATCTGATGGTAGATGTAAAAATAATATACAGGTAGACAAGATAAGCATTTTACAGTATTGCTATATTTATTCTAGATAGTGAAATAGAAGAAGAATCTGAAGAAGATGAAGATTATATACCATCAGAAGACTGGAAAAAGGTAGTTTGAACCATATATTCACAAAATTTAGCTAAGTTAGTATAAAAAATCCAAGTGAAGTTATTCTTTTCTAACTTTATATGTATGTACTAATAAAATTGACGACAAACCTTTCTATAAAATTCAAGCTTTTGGTAAATGTTCAGAAATTTTCCATAATACATCTAATTGAGATAAATATTTATTTTTTTATGAAATTAAACAATTGTGTGAAAAGAAGCAAACTTTTTGAGCTAACAAGTACAGGAGGCACTCACTGATCTCTGCCAAGAAATTTGGAAGACAATTATCTGGCCGACTGATTGGAAGAGATCCATATTTGTGCCCATTCCAAAGAGAGGTGACCCAGTGGAATGTGGAAATCATCGCACAATCTCTTTGATATCCCATGCTGATGTCTGATGGATCTTGGCTGAAAGCAAAGAATATTAGAAATATTATACCTTTGCTTTATTGACTACACAAAGGCTTTTGATTTTGTGGATCATGACAAGCTATGGACAACATTGCGAATGTGAGTATTCTGGAACACTTAATTGTGCTCATGAGGAATCTGTACCTGGACCAAGAGGCAGTTGTTTGAAAAGAATGTGGGAACATGAAATGGCTTAAAATTAAGAAAGGTGTGTGACAGAATTGTATTCTTTCACCATACTATTCAACCTCTATGCTGAGCAAATAATCCTAGAAACTGGGTTCTGTGAAGGAAACATGGCATCAGGATTGGAGGAAGACTCATTAACAACCTTCAGTATGCAGATGATACAGCCTTGTTTGCTGAAAATGTGAAGAGGACTTAAAACATTTACGGATGAAGATCAAAGCACAGCCTTCCGTATGGATTACATCTCAATGTAAAGAAAAAAAAAATCCTCTCCACTGGACCAATAAACAACATTATCAATGGAGAAAAGAAATCAAACGACGTATTGCATTAGGCAAATCTGCTGCACAAGACCTTTTTAAAGTGTTGAGGAGCAAAGATACCAGCTTGAAGACTAAGGTGCGCCTGACCCAAGCCAAGGTATTTTTTAACTTCATATGCATATGAAAACCGGACAGTGAATAAGGAAGACCATAGAAGAATTGATGCTTTTGAGTTATGGTGTTGGAGGAGAATACTGAAAGTGCTATGGGCTGCCAAAAGAACCAATAGATCTATTTTGGAAGAAGTGCAGCCAGAGTGCTCCTTGGAGGCCAGGATGGCCAAACTTTGTCTCTCATACTTCTGACAATATTGTCAGGACCAGTTGTTGCTGGAGAAGGATATCATGTTTGGTAAGGTGGCGGGTCAGAGAAAAAGAGGAAGACCCCCAACTACATGGATTGGCCAAGTGGCAGCCTCAGTGGACTCAAGCATGGCAACAGTAGTGAGGTTGGCCCAGCATCTGGCAGTGTTTCGTTCTGCTGTGCATAAGGTCAGTATGAGTCGGTACCAAGTTGGTGGCACCTAACAACAACAACAAGTACTCTGGTCAAGATTATAAATCCACATTTTTAATGTAGTGCTAAATTACACTTTTGCTGCCCTGTAAAAACTGTGACATAAACATTTTCTATTTTAGAGAGTAATTTTGGTTGCTTTAGTAATTGTTTAATAGTTATTGAATAATTGGAATCTTGTTATGTGTGCTGTAGGATAAGCACTGTACCATAAAGCCAGTTTGAGTCTCAAAGTTGGCAGTTCAGACACCAGCTGCTCCTCAGAAACCTTATACAGCAATGCTATGAGTTGGACCTGGCTCAACAATACCAACAATTGTCATATAAATTTTGCTTTATAATTTGTATTTCCAATTTTTCTGACCCTTATTTATAAACAGAAAAACTCTTAAGAATAGATTTAATGTTGATACATACAAATGGTAAATATGTTTTTTATCACTTGATACAGGGTCGCTATGAGTTAGAACCGACTCAACAGCATTTAACAACAAAATAACAGTATAGGAGTTCATATGTGGCGCTATTGGATAATGCGAAGTTGGCAGTTCAAACCCACCAGCTGCTCTTTGGAAACCCTTTACTGGGTCACTGAGTCGGAAGTGACTCGACAGCACTTAACTATACTTAATAAGTTATTTTTTTTTAATTTCTCATCAGAACAACAAGAGTGAGTGTGGACTTTAAGTAAAATAAGTCAATCACAAAAGGACAAATTCTGTATAGTTTCACTATGATAAAAAGTTAGAAGTAGATTACACCTAGAAAGGAATAATGTTCTTTGGTTACCAGGAATAGGAGAGGAAAGCAGGGAGAATCGCTTTCTATCAAAAGTAAACACTTGTTACTTTGGGTGGTGGGAAAGAATAATAACCAAATAAAGGTGAAGGGACAACTTCAGTAAATGCTGTATAATATACTTAATTTTTGCAGCATTTGTTGTTAAGTGCTGTCGAGTTGGTTCCAACTTACAGTGACCCTGTATAGGGTATCCGAGGAGTGAATGATGAGCTTGAACCAACGACCTTGTAGTTCAAATGACTTTGCTGTCTAGTGCATTAACCCACAGTGCCACACCAGGATTCCGACTTTGAAATAGTAGTAATAATCAAAATAACTAAAAAAGTGTATGTGGCTGCATATAGGTAGAAGTATATTCATATATGTCTAGGAGGGCGTATGAGATTGCATCGTGCAACGAAGGAACTTTGGTGACGCTGTGGTTTAAGTTCAAATCCACCAGCTGCTCCATGAGTGAAAAGATGACGTCTTATCCTATAGATTTACTGTCTTGGAAATTTTAAGTAGCAGTTCTACTCTGTCCTTTATTGGATTGCAGTAGTTGAAATCGACTCTTGGGCAGTGAGTAGGATATGCATATGTAAATATGTATGAAGGAACCTCCAAAAGTTGCTGAAAACTTTTTTTAGGATCTTTTTAAAGCCCCCTTATATATCCATAGAAGAGTATAGCACATACGGGGCTCAGTTACAGAGGCACCTTAGAAATATCGAAACTCCTGGAATGTGCTTACTGGGTTGATGAGAGTGTGACCACTCTCAGAGGATAACTTCATCTGTGAACATAAATTAGTTCATATAGTTAATGTTGTATGCCCTAATTTGGTGAGTAATCCTGTGCTCTTAAAAGTTTATGAGCAGTCATCCAAGATACAACTATTGGTCTCTACTCATCTATAGTAAAAGAAGAAAGACTCAAGAGATACTAGTCCATAGGACAATCAACGCACACAAACCACAGCGTCTTGTAACCAAAGGTCAAAAGAACTAGGTGGTGCCTTGCTACCACTACTGACTGTTCTGACTAGGTGCACAGTGGTTGTGTATCATCAAGTCGGTTCTGACTCCTAGTGACCCTGTATAGTTTCCAAGGCTGTAACTCTTTATGGGAGCAGAAAGCCTCATTTTTCTTCCATGGAGCAGCTGGTAGATTCAAACTGCTGACTGTGGTTAGCAGCCCGATGTATAACCCACTATGCTGCCTACCAGGGAGTTTTAGTAACATGATAGAAGGTTATAATTTGAGAAAAACATAGAACAAAACTCAAATTATTAAAAAACACCTGACTTACTGGACTGGAAGGTTCCTGTAGAAACCTCTGACATTGTTGACCTGAGATGCCCTTTAACCTATAACTGAAACCACTCTACCAAACAAGAGATTTGATTATAAAATAAACAGTATCACCCATGAGTAATGATCCCTTAAAACAACTAACTACATGAGATTAAGGGGACAGCATTTACGCAAAAGCAAAGGTGAACCGGAAAGGCTTTTAGGAAAATCCATCCGAATGTCTTGCTAAATTCTCAACAGCAAAAACAATAAAATTTTTTAAAGTAGAGACTAGGCTTTGTAACTCTGCTCCATAGAAACTGTGTTCCCATTCCTCCTTGCTAGCATACAAAATACCCACATATCCTTATATCCAATATTGTTAATACCACATGCAAGTAAAATGTTACTGAAAATATTTCAAAAACAGTTGTCGCAGAATATCCAACGGGCAATTTAAGCCAGATTCAGAAGAGGGCATGGAACGAGGGGTATCATTGC